GGCCCGAGAGACAGGATTAGCGCATACGACTGTGCTTCACATTCTGAAGGAACGCCTGGGCATGAGAAAAATTGCATCACGATGGGTTCCGCATGATTTGACAGATATGCAGAAATGGCTGCTCGTAACCACTTGGAGCGCTATGAGCGCGTAGGAGAGGCTTAGCAAACAGCTGTCGGCAGTACGTTCCTCCGAAACGTCTGCATAGTCACCGCCGTGAAGTCCTTAAATACAGCAACATGCTCCTCGGTTTGAAAGAAACAATTTAACACTTCACGATAATTTTGTGCACGGGTTTTATCTTATTATGGTATATAACACCGTGTAGTCCGTTGAAAGTCAACCGGCGTTTGGGAGGAATATACCACCTCCATATTCAGGGCCGAAGAATAAGGCAAACAAGAAATCAGCATGAAGCATGCAGCCAGCAGGCGATTTGTTCCTATGAAACGTCGGTTAACTTTCAACACGGCGATATATCCCAGAAAATAGAACTCCTTCATGACCACCGCTGTGAGAACCCCAAATCTTACATTTCGACTAGTGTCCCATACAGCCCGGGAGCCGGGATGGCATAGTCGGTATAGCGACTAGCTTCGGGTTCGATGGTCGAGGGGTCGGAATTCCGAGTCCCAGTGAAGGCAAGATTTTTCTCTTCTTTACATAGTCAAGACCAGGAGGCGTGTTAGCGTAGTCAGCATAGCGACTGGCTACGGGCTGGGCGACCGAAGGGTCGGAGTTCCGAGTCCCTGTACGGTCCAGAATTTTCTTCACGTCGTCTAGACCGGTTCTGCTGCCCACTCAGCCTTGTAAGAAATGGATACTGGGGTGTTGTTCTCGCGGGGTTAAAGCGATCTAGTCCTGAAGCTGGTCACTCACCTTTTAATTAGTGTCGAGGTGAAGAATACGTGGATCCATACATCCACTCCCCCATACACCTTTGTGGTGTAGTGCCTAGTTAAGCAGAGGGCCAAGTTTTTACTCTTGCCACACAACCCATTTCACATGTTTCGGTTTGTGGGACATTTGCCAGAAATATAGGCAAATCCACGGACTGTGCCCATAGCACATTTCCTGGCCAGTATACAAGTGGCGGTTTGTTTCGCGTCTCTGTGTTGATGGAACGCGTAAGCTGCCAAGTCTAAGTATAGCCTACGTGGAATTGGGCCCATGCAACATCTAATCAACACTTGAGCGCAGTTGCGAGCGAATTTTCAGGTCAGACACAGTGCGAACAGTGGAACGAAGACTGCCTGACATATGTCATACTTTAGTCTGTTTTGAAGTGTGCAGCTCCAGCCGCCGGAGCCTTGAAGTCGTCTGTGGTCAGTATTTACCAAATCGAGAATCACGTTTGTGACACATAGTGCTGATCCACTCGCAAACCACATATCTGTTCGGCCCATTTCATTTTACTGGACTTTTGTGTAGTGTCTTGTCGCGCCGTGCGTTTTTTATTTATGTATGTGTGTATTGCTTAAGGACGGTGTCAGGAACACATACTAAATCCCCAGTATTAGACTTAACCTTAAGAGAAAGTTGTTGCATAAAAGTTTATGTGAATTCGATAGAAATGATATCCCATGTAATTACGTAACAGTCAGTTTTATAACCCTTCTTGTGAACTGGTACAGTACTAGACTCCTTCCACTGATCAGGCAGTTCTTCTTTATTCCAAATAGAATGAAAGAGTTTATGCATCTCAAACCGTAACTTTTCCATCTACTGCTTGAATCGGTTCTGCCGGAATTCGATCAGTTCCAGGCGATTTATATATACTCTTCAAAGTCCTCTGCGTTAATGTCTCGTGTGAAGCATACATTCGTGTTAAGTAGGTCCGCTGTGTTGTGAAGCGTTCCACTCACTTATATGAGTACGACTGGGTGGGCAGATCCCAGTGGCCGCGCGGCCTAAGGCACTTCTCGCTTAAGCGCTGACATCATCCGGTCTAATCCCGCTCAAGGCGTAGTAGATATCTATCAGAGTTTCTTCCGCGTTTGTGTTATTCTGTGTAGGTAGCGGCCTGCCAACAGGGCTGTTTCCTCGTCCAAGGAGTCCTACCGACTGTCTGCACTGTTCATGGGTTCAGAGTTAATTCTGAATAGGAACAGGTCAGAGAAACTTATTCGCCAGGTTGCACGAAAATGAAGTGTCACCCATGTTCGTAGAGCTGCCAAGTCACATTTGTCCCCGTGAGGGTTGTGTGTTGGGCGGAAGGGGGCTCCAGGAAATGTCGGTTGTTCCATCTCTAAAGGGGCCCGTACACGTACGAGTCTGGCTCGGCGAGCTCGATTCGGGAGCCGGGCTCGATTAATTTCACCACATACACATGAGCTGACTCCCAACTTTGCTCGTACATTTCAGTATCCAGAATCAGTTCATCGAAGCAAGTTGCATATACCTTTTGCTACTAGGCATGTCTTTTACGTACGTATGTTTCCATGTGTCTGTATAGAATTTGTGGTTAAGGTATAGCTGTGTAAGTAGACGCGCAGATAGAATTTGAGGTTACTGTATAGCTATGTAAGTAGACGCGCGGATAGAATTTGTGGTTACGGTATAGCTGTGTAAGTAGACGCGCGGATAGAATTTGTGGTTACGGTATAGCTGTGTATTTTTTTTTATTTCTGGTGGGGTGGGACTAAGTCCGTTGTAGCGGCCTCCGTAGTCTAGGAGTAACGTTCCCACCTCATGACTCAAGGTACGCGGGTTCAAACCCGGCGGAGGTCGTGGAATTTTTAAGGGCGGAAAAATTCGGGGAACAAGTCCTCCGGGAGGGACTTTAAGCCGTGTGTCCCGTGTCGTAGATTTACGGCACGTAAAAGAACCTCATGTCTCTAGGAGACCTCTGAGCTAAATTAGGCAAAAAGTTTCCCGCCCAAGTAGTTTCCAATGCCTCCCGTAGGTGGGGAAGTATTAGGTACTGCTGCTAGAGGAGGGCCGACCTCGCTGACAGAAAGGGACTAATTATCAGATACCACTGCCAGTAGAGGGTCGAAACCTCGCTGGCAGAAAGGGGCTGATAGCGAGCACCAGTACCGGTAGGGTATGGAGACAGTAGAAATTAAAAGGGGGACGTACAATAGACTATTAGTCGCGGTGCATGAGGAAACCCACCCCCTCAATACTGGATAACTGGAACTGGAAGTCCCTTGTACTGCGGCCACTTCTGGCCTATTGTACCAGCCCCAGATGATAGGTGAGGGTGATTGTGGAGCAATTGGTAGAATGAAGATTGGCAGGGGAAACCGAAGTACTCGGAGAAAACCTGCCCCAGCGCCACTTTGTCCACCACAAATTCCACTTGACCAGACCCGGGATCGAACCCGGGCCGCCACGGTCGGAAGCCACCGACTAACCGCTTGAGCTATGGCGCGGCCTATAGCTGTGTAAGTAGACGCGCGGATATGTTACAACTTACCATCCAGTTGATCTTACATCTCCATTGCGATTGCTGCCAGCTTCATTGGCCCTTATTACATACACATTCTCATAATACTCTAATGTGATGTATGCTCTTCTAGTATAACAAACTATAAAGCGGCCTCCGTAGTCTAGAGGTAACGTTCCCACCTCATGACTCGTAGTACGCGGGTTCAAATACCCGGCGGAGGTCGTCGAATTTTTAATTCAGGGAACAAGTCCTCCGGGAGGGACTTCAAGCCGTGGGTCCCGTGTCGTAGCTTTACGGCACATAAAAGAACCTCATACCTCCAAAGGAGGTCACTGAGCCAAATTAACGGACGTTTCCCGCCCAACAGCAGTCTCTAATACCTCTGGTAGATGGGGGAAGCATTATAGATACCTCTCAGCTAGTAGAGCCGGTCTCGCTGGCTGGGCGGGACTGATGGTAAGCACCAGTACCGGTAGGATATAGAGACTGGTAGAAATCAGAGGGAAGCACAATGGAGCAATACAGGTCTAAGTGCATGGGGAAACCCACCCTCTCCAATAACTAACTAACTAACTAACTAATAACAAACTATATCAGGTGTGTTGACATTCGTCATGGTCCTTTTTGTTTTGGAATGTGTCAGGGCCCCTACGGATGCAGGATATCGGGAGAGGTCACTACTATACATAGCCTAACTAACGAACTATCTAACTTCATAGAGCTGAGCCCTTTTTGATAAGCCGCCAGTTGTGCAGCTACTCAAGAAATTCCAAACATTTTATGGAACCCGAAGGTTCATTACCTTGTTCACAAGCGCCCTCCACTGGTCCCTATCCTGAGCCAGATCAATCCAGTCCATACCACCCCGTCCTCTCTCTAAGATCTGTTTTAATGCTATCCATCCATCTACGTCTTGATCTTCCTAGTGATCTCTCCTGGACTTCCCACCAATATCCTATGTGTATATATATATATATTTTTTTTTCCTCTTCGCCCCATCCCATCCTCCATGACTTATCATTCTAATTATACTTGGAGAAGAGTACAAGTTATGAAGCTCCTTATTATGCGTTTTCTCCAACCTCCTGTCACTTCTCTCTCTTCGGTCCAGATGTTCTCCTCAGCACCCTGTTCTCAAACACCTTCAGTCTATGTTCCTCTCCTTATGTCAGAGACCAAATATCACACAATACAGAGCCGCAGGCAAAATTACAGTTTTATATATTCTAATTTTTATGTCTCTAGGCAGCAGACGAGAAGACGAAAGGTTCTGGACTGAATGGTAGCAAGCATTACCTGAATTCAATCTCCTCTTAATTTCCTCCTGAATCAAATTTTATTTTGTTAGCATCGTTCCCAAATATCTGAACAGTGCCATATTTTCCAACCATCTGTTAGCTGTCTTTATGTCATGATTTTGCCCTGCATTCTGGTGGCGAGACAACAGGATACACATAGTTTTCTTTGTGTTTACTTCTAAACCAACCTCCTTACTAGCGTCAATTAAAGTTTCTGTGTTTTCTTTTATACCTTTCTCTATTAGAAAAGATGATGGCCACTTCACTGCACGAGATTTTTAAGAATCTTTACTTTGTTCAATTAACAGGCTAGAATCTGTGCGCGCCTTCCAGAATGGACTTCGCAACAAGAAGCCGTCACCAGATAACGGAGACGAACAGACTCAGAGCGCCGTCGATGTGTGTGTAGACGTTGCTGCAGACAACTCAACGAGTGAACCGCATACTTCTCCAGACGTAGACAGGGACAGACATCCGATCTGGGTAGTGCGCGACAGAGATGAGTGTGGTGATTGTGTAAGCATTACGTCTCTTCCTCCGTCACCGAAGGCGAATCAGAATTCACCTCGTAAGTCATTGTCTCCTGATTTGATCATGAGTAAGGAAGCTGCAAGTCGCCGAGCTGAGCAGGACGCGAGGGAAACCGGCCGTGTTGAGGATTCAGATGGTCTCCTTGAGTTGCGAAAGAGCAACAGCGTCGTGGCTAGGGTGTCAATGTTTGCACAGTTGGAAGAAGACATGAAGAAGGCTGCTAAAGAAGCGAAAGCTACGAAGTTACCCAAGGGGACGTCGAATAGGTATGCGGCGCGCCGTGAGCACGTGTCACAGTCCTTCACCAGGTTCGCCACCCAGCCCGTCACTGTGGATGAAGTCCAAGAGGCTGTGAGAAGTGCCATCAGTCGTGACGTCAGCACCACTGTGACAGGTACGTTAAGCAAGCTGTTAGTTGCTTACGAGTGTTTGCTGTGGCCCAGTTTGTTGACCTATTGGCGAGCTCCTCATTTCATATGGAGACTGTGGCACAAAGACCAGAGTCCTGTACACAGTTCCAACATCCGAACTTCAAAATAAATGATGGAAAAAGGATTCTTCACGAAAAGATCGAGCTATAAATTCTCTTGTACGTAGTATGGCGAGTGTACTGTATTCTCAGTTTTTTTTTCTTTTTTTTTCTGATTGGGTGACACTGAATTCTCTTTTGGCCCTGTTTGGTCATTCTGAAGCAGTCAGTGGAATGCGAAATGATAGGGGAAACCGAAGTACTCGGAGCAAACCTACCCCAGTGCCACTTTATGCACCACAAGTCCCACATGACGTGACCTTGACCCGAGCCTGGACAGTGAAAAACCGGCGACTAAGCCTGAGCTATTGCACGGCCTTCGCAGAAGATAAGTTGAGATTTTAAATTCTAGTTTTGGAGCCCTTGATGCGCATGAAAAGTACGGTCTACAAGTTTGTAACGCCGTGTAGTTCACATGAGACACCGACATTTCGGAGAAAGTTATAAGCTCCATCTTCAGTGTAGAAGAGTATGACGAGCGGTAAACCAACATAGGGTATCTCCCGAACTATACGGCGTGTAAGAACTTCATAACCACCCCTGTGAGAACTCCAAGTGCAACTCAATGTCCTATTTCAGAATTCTGAGCCGCCATTCCCGAGCCCAAAGAAAAACATCGGTACTGCTGATCACTGTCTCGTGCGCAACTGTCTTCTCCTGCTTTCGTCGTAGTTGCAACTGTCACGAAAAATGGTAGAGTTTAACTTCGGAATGCTTAGGATTCAGTAAAGGGAGCTTTACTTTTAAGAGCTTTTATAGTTCAGTGGAGATTAACCATTCGTAACCCCCCACCCCAGGATATTCGTGCAGCGAACTGTTAATGAATATGGACCCTCTTGAGAAACTAAACAGCCGCTTAGCTAGTTAAGAAATTCCTGGCCTCTCAAGAACCCACAGGTCCGTTACAGTGTTCATAGGAGCCCGCCACGGGCCTCAGTTCAGAGCCCGATCAATCCATTTCACATCTTCACACCTTTCTTTAAGAACGTTATTAGTATTAGGAGCGCAAATTGACGAAATTGCGTTGCCGTTTCCAATTTCCTTGCTGTGCCTTTGCCCTAATAGTTATGGTATCCTCCTTCACGAAACTGTTTCAGTATATCGTGGCTGCTGAGCCATATACACGAATTTCATTTTTCGAAAGCTCACTGTCTTTTCAGATTCTTGCATATGATTTTCCAATTATTTGCCATAATGCGACGTTTCTAGATGTTTTAGCAGTACAACACTAACCTGTAATATAGGGTTTTCCATTTTCCTTGATTCATTTTCGTCCCACTGATAATGTTCAGAAAACCACTCGCTATTTAACGATGCTGCCAGCATCTTACACTGTTTCTCATCGAACTGTAGGATAATGACTATGGAAGGAAGTGGTCGTGGCTTAATATGAGATGTTAGCGCCTAGAAGGACGGCGCAAAACCTTTTTTTTTATTGCTAGTGGGGTGGGACTAAGTCCCTTGTACTGAGACCACTTCTGGCCTGTTGTACCAGCCCCAGATGTTTTTTTTATTGCTAGTGGGGTGGGACTAAGTCCCTTGTACTGAGACCACTTCTGGCCTGTTGTACCAGCCCCAGATGATAGGTGAGGGTGATTGTGGAACAGTTGGCAAGGGAAACCGAAGTACTCGGAGAAAACCTGCCCCAGCGACACTTTGTCCACCACAAATCCTACTTGACCAGACCCGGGATCGAATCCGGGCCGCCGCGGTGGGAGTCAGCGACTAACCGCTTGAGCTGTGGCGCGGCCGTTTCTTCACTTTGCTATTTTACGAAGTTTTCATTATCGCAGTCTATATAGGATGCCCAGAAGGAAAGGTCAGTATTCTTGGAGGCCATAATATCGGCCATTCTAAGCAAAATTGTATATGTACATGTGTCCTATTCCGAACGGTTTCCGAGATAGAGCTATTTCACTGTACAGTACACTGTACACTGCACAGACGAGCAACAGGCCATGTCCTCACATGAGTTGCACCGAGATAGAGCTATTTCACTGTGCAGTACACTGTACACTGTACAGACGAGCAACAGGCCATGTCCTCACACGAGTTGCACCGAAATAGAGCTATTTCACTGTGCAGTACACTGTACACTGTACAGACGCGCAACACGCCATGTCCTCACACGAGCTGCACCGAGATAGAGCTATTTCACTGTACTGTACACTGTATAGACGAGCAACACGCCATGTCCTCACACGAGTTGCAAAGTGCACTGATGTTGACGGTAGAATTTTCGAAAATGTATTACACTAGGTAAACTGTAGCAACTTTGTCACTTGAACAATAAATACGGATATTAGAAACATTACGTAATATCTCTTTCTTATCAACAATTCTGAAACTGTACAGTGAAATAGCTCTGTCTCGGAAACCGTTCGGGATGGGACACTATGTTCAAGAATATTGTCCTTTCCTCCTGGGACATTCTGTATAGCGTCGAATGGTAGGACGATATATTACGTAGAAGGGTTTCAAAGGGAAGTGAACGTGGCCTAAAGGAGCCGGTAGCCCGTAATTTATGCTTGGAGTTACTGAGAAAAGACATGAAAGCACCAGTAAAGATAGCCGGCTCTTTGGCCGAGAGTTGGACCGAACATATCCCGGATACATGTTCGTAGGAAAATACTGCCTCCATCTTCAAGGATGGGTTGCAAGGAAGGCGGTCACTAAGATCCACAGAACTGGGTGAAAGGAATTTTATTTCTTCAAGCCAAGTTAGTTGTTTAGTGCAGTTCGTAGCAACTTGTAGTCAGTTTTCCGTATTTTGTAAAAAATTAAACTGGGCTTATGCGATCTCCGTTCTGTCTGTGTCCTTGTACACCCCACTATCCAGGCTATTACATACTTCGAGGAGTACTATATTCTGGGATATAACACCGTGTAGCACGTTGAAAGTAAACGTTTCGGAAGAACATCGCCTCCATCATCAGTATAGAATAAGCCAAGCAAGATTCCAAGCCACCTGCTTTCACGATGGAATTTTGCTCGGCTTATTCGAACCTGAAGATGGAGGCACTGTGTTCCTCCGAAACGTCGGTTGGCTTTCATACGTGTATTTTACTTGGCTCATTCGATCCTGAAGATTGAGGTGACATGTTTCTCCGAAACGTCTATGGACTCGCCACCTGCTTTTGCGCTGGTATCTTGCTCGGCTTATTCTACGATGGAGATGGAGGCGGTATGTTTCTCCGAAACGTCGGTTGCCTTTCAACGGATTACACGGTATTACGTATATCCGAAGGTGTTACTCTTCCTAACCACCGGTGTGAGAACCTTAAATCCTATATACGTTACGTACTTTTAGTTTGTGGATGCAGTATTTAATGGGTAATATTTATGGAATGCTGTTTTTATTTCCTATTTTATTTTCCCTCTTCTTTATTTCTGTTTTTGCATGATTTCTTCAACACGTCTGAACCTTCTCTGTACTGCACTCCACGGTGGTTGGCCCAACTTCAGAAAGAAAACAGAAGCCTGACGGCGATGACGAGGAAGAACCGTCCCAGTTGAGTTTGGCGGATCGAGTCAGGTTGTTCAACCAGAAGATCCGGGATGATGCGAAAGCGCCTGTTGTGAAGGAGCCGGCGCCAACTAGGAAGCGGTTGACGCAGACGGCGCGCTTCAAGACGCAGCCCGTCACCACGGAAGAAGTGGAGACTGCTGCCCGGAGGATCTCGCCTCTGGCCGCCAGCCTTGCAAAACCTCCTGATCCGGAAGTATTAGGTGCGGCCGAACTCTTCCGTCTCAGTGACGTACTCATTCTGTATGGCTAGGAAACCTGAAACTTAATAGAACAGAATTCCTAAAACTTCATGTTTTATTTAGCTGATTCTTAAATGTTTCTGACAGAGCCGCGATATCTTAGTCGGTATAGCGGCAGACTGCAGGATGGACGGCCGGAGTTCAATTCCCGGCAAGGAAAAGTATATTTTTATTTGCTCCATAATGTCCAGACTCGCTCTGAGTTTCAGCCAGCCTCTTATGCAATTGGTATTAAGGGCCTTTTCCCTGGGGGTAAAGCTTGCCACTCACTTCTATGTATTGCCGAGGTGAAGCGCAGGTACAGCTTTAACCGGATCTTAGGATGGTACACACATGCTGAAACGTACCCTAGACAGAAACTTCCGTGTGCTGGAAATACTGTGGTACTGGCAAGAATATAGTAAATATTGTCTGTAGTTAGTGCGAAATGTACGTAGAATCGCTGGGGGAGGGTGGGTGTGACGTGTTACTGTGCACTGCGCGGCGTGTCTTGTGTACTCTCTGGTGCTAAAGTCTATTCCTGCGGATTCCGTCATTTCGAGCACATAAATCACGGCAACTGAAATTAATTCTGCAAAAAGCTACATTAATCTGTGGATGGCACATGTTTGTAACAGGCCCACCAGCATTATTTCGGTACCTTATCTTCGATTCATATTCGGGAAGTGCTTGATTCGAATCTGAAACGGCGCACCGGACTATCCTGTCTTAGAAGATTTCTGTATTCTGGAATATAATGTCGTGTAGTCCGTTAAAAGTTAACTGACATTTTGGAGAAAGATGTCGCTTCCATCTGCAGGTGGCGAAGAATAAGTCAAGGAAGAAACCAGCCAGAAAACAAGTGGCATCTTGCCTGCTTTAACGCTCGGCTTATTCTTCGACTCTGAAGATGGAATCGACATGTTTCTCCGAACTGTCGGTTGACTTTCAAGGGACTACACGGCGCTATATTCATGATCACCGCTGTGAGAACCTCAAATCATATCTTGGCGTAGGTTGTTTGTTTTGCCAGAACATTCAGGCGAATGTTGATAGTTCATCAGCCCTACAATCGGACACTATGTTGTCCAGCTACTGAAAAGGTCGTAAAATGGACCCTCAGAGTCAACCCAGTTATATATTTATTTTTCTGTGGCTAAATTTTACTCAAGTCTTGTGGACGGGCTCAGCGGAACCGCATCTGACTTGTATTCGGGAGGTGCTCTGTTCGAATCAAGGCGAGGACATGGAGTTTCTGAGCGATGTTTTCTTGGATTTCCTTAGGCTCTTCGTGCAAATGCCGGAGCCATTGTTCAAAATTAGTTGAAGACGGTTTCCTCGACTCCCTTTCCATTTTATTATTCATTGCAGTCTGCGTACTTCTAATGCGGTCCCCTGTACCGATGGCGTTGTTAAATAAGTAACAAAAATTTGCCTGATTAATCGAGTGTGGCTTTGGAATAGGTACAAATAGAGTGAACGGATTGACGTAGCTTTAACACTCTTGACCCATATTCCGTATGTGCTGGCTTCGAACCACACCCTAGACCTCGGCTGTCCTAATTCTTCGTGGGTTTCCCCAGCCCCTACAGGAAAATGTAAGATATGTCAGTTAGGCTACAGGCATATCCTTAAAAAATCCTTTCCATTTCGTCTCTTATCCTACTAATGGATGCTAAGCGTAGCTACTGACCAACTACCCGAGTCCTCAAGAAGTCGCCAGTCTCTCAGATACTCCAAGAATATCCTAAAATTTTATGGAATCCGAAGGTTCGTAACAGGAGCCCTCTACTTGAACCTATCCCAAGCAAAAATAAATCCAGTCCATGTCACCCCATTATACTCGTATTTCTCTTAGGTCTAATTTACTATTATCCTCCCATGTACGTCTTGGTCTTCCTGGTGGTCTCTTTCCATCTTTCTTTCCCAACAAAATTAAATATGCATTCCGCTTCTCCATGTCTGCTGCATGCCCTACCCATCTCATCACCCTTGACTTGATCATTCTAATTATATTTGGTGAAGAGTACAAGTTATTTAGCTCCTGTAATGCAATTTTCTCGAACCTCCTGCTTCGGTGCAAATATTCTCTTCAACACCCTCAGGCTACGTTCTTCCCTTAATGTCAGAGAGACCAAGTTTCATGCTCATTCAAAGTACAGGCAGAATTATAGTTTTGTGCAGACCCCGAATGTATAGCTATCAAATCTTACATATAGCTATCTAGCTACTAACAGTGCCATAAAATAAAAGTAAAAGGTAAAGCTATACCTGTAACAGGCCGTGGAGGCCCATAGGGTTGTGAGACATCAAATTTCTCACATTTTCTAGACAATCGGCTCACAGATGGCGGTGAGCTTGTCAGTCTTAAGTTCTGGCCACTCTTTACTCCAAGGAAAATTCCTGGTACTCATTCCTGTTAGAGACTGAGTATGCCACAGGGCCATAGTACAGCTGGAAGGATTAAGTCAATTGAAGAACCCAATGGTCTCATCTGGAACCAAACCCACGACCTTCCAGCTTGCAGCATAGTACCTCAGCCAACTATGCTACCATGTGCCCCAGTAGCATCATTCAATATCCAACTAAAAAGGTTACACATAGGATTTAAAATTTTTGGTTAATAGGTTTTCTTACATGCTCTGGCTTATGCCATGTTGAGACAGATCCTTGGAAATTGAATCTTTACGTGTGATAAAACTCCATGGGAGTTCATTGCATTGCATGGCTTATGCCATTGCAAAATTAAACAGAAAAGGGCTGTGGGATTTTATCACAGTGCACTGCTGTAACCTGTGTAGATTAACACCAGATGAGAAATGTAATCCATAGATATATTCTAAGGAGGATCATGCTGAAACGCAACGTGCCTCCGATTTGGCACATAGAGGTTACTTGTAATAGCATTGTGCAGTCAGGCTGTGTGGAAATAATCCTGTTATCATTGTCCTGTTACTGGGTATGAAGTGTTTAACAGTTTTAAGTGACATGAAGAGTGAACACACATTTGTCTAGTTTAACATGTCACATTTTATTTTTTGTCTCACCCTAAAAGAACAACACAATCTCAGGATGTTTGTGGCCAAGAGCGAGAAAGTAGTGTACTCTTTAGGAAATGTTCTTAGAGTGAGGAGGATGAGTGCATAAGAGAGATGTGAAATACGTGCAAAATTTTAGTTTGCAGATGTGAAGGAAAGAGACCACGCGGGAAAGTTAGGATTAGGTGAGATAATAATATTAAAATGTATCTTAAAGACGTAGGATGATAGGATATGAACTGATTTTATTTGGTTCAGAATAGCATTAATTGCGGGGGGGGGGCACAGTAGCACTAAACGGATTTTTTTTTCTCCTTGGCACTACAGCCCCAATGAGCCTAGGCCTACCTCCATGAACTTCAAAACATGGATTTACATTCTTTTATTTCCCCTCTTTTAGTGCCACTTCATACAGTGCATGAAAATCTTGTTGTATTCATTCTATTAATTAGTCCACATTCATGGATGAATACTGTTTGATGAACTTCGCCTTGTAAAGTTTGTGTAGTCGTACCATTTGTTTGAATGGCAAATTATGACTCAGACTGAGTATTGCACTGAATCTAAATAGTAAGAGGACATAAACTGTGTTCTTATTAAACATCACATAGTGAAGTAGAGAGTGGAGATATAGCTCCATTTATTCTTAGCCTCTGCTAGATGGAGTTAGTGGTCAGCTTCATGCTTGAGCCTTGTCATGCCGAGTGAAAACCCAAGTCAGATAGGATGCTGGGTTTGACCCATTGTTGGTTTGGATACAGTGGTGATGAGGAAACTCCTTACCCTTACCATGAATCAAACTACAGTCCTTTAGTTCGTAGCCATTGATTTTCTGTATGAGGAATTCTAGCTCATGCTGTCTTTGTATCTTACAAAATATTCAGTATCAGTACAATGTTGGAAATATAATCTAATTAATGCACTGGTGTGTTCAGACAATTTAGTCATTCAGGGTACTGGATTTCAGCTAAAAAAGTTTTTTTTCACTCTTGGAGCTGAGCCCTTCTTGAGAAGCCGCCAGTTTTGCAGCTTGTGAAGAACTTCCCAGTATTTTATGGAAACCGAAGGTTCATTACCGTGTTCCCAAGAGCCCTAGTCTGAGCCAGATTCGTCCAGTCCATACCATCCCATCCTCTCTCTCTAAGATCCATTTTAATATAATTCCCTCACTTACGTCTTGGTCTTCCCAGTGGTTTCTTCCCATCTGTCTTTCCCACCAATATCCTATATGCATTCCTTGTCTCTTCCATTCGTTCTACATTCCCTACCCATATCATCCTCCTTGAGTTGATCATTCTGATTATACTTGGAGAAGAGTACAAGTTATGAAGCTCCTCGTTATGCAATCTTCTCCAACCTCCTGTCTCCATGATGAACTGGGTCTAAGTGTTGCTGTTTGAGCCAACTTGCTTAGATTTTACACTTTATAATTAACAGGAGTCAAGATAGCTCACTCAGTATAGTGATGGGTTACAGGCTGGATGACCTGGGTTCGATTCCCTGGAGTGCAAGAATTTTCTCTTCTCCACAGCGTACAGACTGGCTCTGGAGTCCACCCAGCCTCATATCCAATTTCTAGTACGGGCTTTCCCCCAGAGTAAAGTAGAAGGAGCATGAAGCTGACCACTCGCCTCCATCTAGTGCCCAGGTGAAGAAAGATGGAGCTATGCATCCACTCCCCCATACAGCTTGATGGCATAGTGCTTAATTAATTAATTAAGCACAGGAACAACTTTGTAATAAACCAGGAGTCATAAACTGAAAGTGAAGAAATACAGCATGCACTTAGTACTTTGTTGTAAACATTACCATTGATCTCTAAAGTGAACTTAAATATATGGACGGAAAATTAATCGGCTTTTCTACCTGTTGATAGTGCATTTTCAGTAATTCAGGACAGGAATGAAGAGAATAGCAAGTGGATTGTCATATTGGTAAATCTCTATCATTGTATTTTGGAGGTGTTGGTATTAACCCAAGTCACTGTCTATCCTAACTGACCTTTTTCATTGCTTTCTTCAGTCCATCTGGCAAATTGTAGGCTAGTAGAGACTTGTGAACTCTCCTACCATTCTACACTATGAACCCTAGCTACTGACAACATGAAAATTAACCCACAAACGAGAGAAAGAAAATATGTAGTAGAACAGTGCAGTTAGTCCTATCAGTATCCTGACTTGCTTTATGTATGTGGTCTTGAGAGAAAACTAATTGAATGCTCTTTCCTGAAATAGTTTGTGGCTTTGTACAGGTGGAATATCAGTGAGAGCTGCTCAAGAGAAAATGTATGAACACGCGTCTGCCATACTGGCAAAGTCTAGCTCAGCATCTTGGCTGTTTCGTGAAAGGCATCTGGGTGTTGACAGCAGAGCTCACATCAGTGGACAAGCAGATACTGATGTGAAACCAAAAGGCAAGAGATATAGTCTTGTATTAAGATGTGTAATACCATATTACTTTGAATTTAAGATGGGTTAAGTTTTTGAATGTGAGTTAGGAAAAAAAATTATGAAGTTGCACATTCCTCGAATTTAAGATGCATCTCAGTGTTTTTCAACAGAAAAAAAATTCGTCTTATATTCGAAGCAATACAGTGGGGGCAGAAATAGTGTCATGCATATTTATTCATTAAATCATTCTAGGAGCTCAGCCATTCTTGAGAAGCCGCCAATTGTGCAGCTACTCAAGACTTATCAGCATATTATAGACCTGAAGGTTCATTACCATGTCCACAAGAGCCCTCCACTGGTCCCTATCCTGAGTCAGATTAATCCAATCCATACCATTCCATCCTATATCTCTAAGATCCATTTTAATATTCTCCACCCATTTATGTCTTGGTCTTCTAGTGGTCTCGTTCCTTCTGGCTTACTCACTAATATCCTATATGCATTCCTTGTCTCTCCCATTTGTCCCACATTCCCTCCCCATCTCATCCTCCTTTACTTGATCATTCTAATTATACTTGACGAAGAGTGCAAGTTATGATGCTCCTCATTATGCAGTCTTCTCCAATCTCCTGTCACTTCATCTGTCTTTGGTTTAAGTATTGTCCCCAGCACTCTTTTAACAAACATCTGGAGTCTGTGCCCCTCATTAATGTCAGAGACCAAGTTTCACACCCATGCAGAACCACAGGCAAAATTATAGCTTTGTGTATTCAAATTTTTATATTTTTTGACGGCAGACAAGAAGGCAAAAGGTTCAAAACAATGGTAGCAAGCATAATCTGAATTCATTCTCCTCTTAATTTCCTCCTAAATCTAATTCTGATTGGTACTGTTTTTCCCAAATATTTGAACTGTGCCTCATTGACAAAGGATCTGTTAACTATCTTTATGTCATGAGTATGCCCAGCCTTCAGGTGACAAGACAGCAACATATACTTAGTTCTCTCTGTGTTTTTCTTTGAGGTATCTGTGTTCTCGTAATAGATTCACATCATCAGCATACACCAGCAGCTGATGTGTCCCTTTTAATTTTAGTCCCACATGGTTTTCCTTGACCATCCTAATGGCATATTTTAAAGCAAAGTTTAAAGAAATGAGGATAAAGCATCTCCATGTTTTAGACCATTTTGGATAGGAAGCTTATTTACCTAAATGGACTTTACTATGTGTTTCGTTTACAAAACTTAAATCAGCATAACTAGTTTCATGGGTACTCCAAACTCCATATTTCGCTGCTTTGCAATAAATAAACTCATATGTAATAAGGTAGGAAGGAAATACGGGCAGAGAAAGAGTGCGTGCGCGCCCGTGTTACTTTGTCGTAAATTTTGCGGTGTTATATTTCTGTTTCACTTTTGCAACGCATTAACTGTCTACCGTGACCGGGATTTCTTCCGAATAAAAACCGCATAGCTCCTCTTACGGCGCACGAAAATAGTTCGAGGATTGGTGTGAATTTATGTGTTCTGTATGTAGGGGGCATTTTACCGTATTTGCAGTGTTAGGAATGGAACTGTAAATGTTATCATTTGCCGTGTATTGCATAATAATAATAATATGGCGGAAGAAGGAAGTCCTGCTTATAATAGGCAGGAGATTTGTGAACGAAAAGAGGTCGTCGAGAAGAGCTGTGCTTGTGATAAATGCTTAGAACTGGATCTGCAACTAAAAGAAGCTTTATTAGAGCCAAGTTATGCACAAATAATTATAGGAATACTTCGGAAAAGCCAAAGTGTGGGTACGTGTAGTGGGTACATAAGTAATAGTACATCTACAACTTATGAATTTGTTGACCAAGAAGTGAATACTAATTTGGAATTAGTAAATTCTAGGTATTCATGTGAGCCAAAGAAACTTAAGGAAACTGCGAAACATCTCACTTTTCCAAGCAGCAAAATGTTGGTAACATCTAATCGTTTTTCAGTGCTGGCCGATATTAGTGAGTCAGATGGATGTGATGAAGTGCTTGTTTCAACAGAGGGACAAGATAAATTCCATGTAATCGGTAAACACCCCAACGGTGCAAATAAACCGAAGACTACACCGGCAAAGCAAATTTTGGGCGGTCTTAACCTAACAATCTTACCACATAACCTTCAAGATCGAGAAAGGAAAAACAAGTAGAAGAGGTCATGAAGAAACCCCCCTTTACTCTATCCCGACAATAGTCAATGGATGTTTATCGACAAAGGATGCATTTAGACTTATGATACTAAGGAATGGCAAATTTAGTAACAGTAATAATGTAATGTTGAAAGTGTACAGTGATAGGACTACAATTATGAAAGAGCACAAACGTGTAATTATAGGAGATAGTTCTGCTAGAGGTTATGCAGTGGTGGTGAAGAATCATATGGCTGACAAAATTGAAGCAATTGGTCTGGTTAATCCAGGTGTGGCTGCTGTGAGTGACATAGTGAATTTAACTAAAGTGATGTAGTTGTGTTCTTTGGTGGTTCCAACAATGTCAGAACAATTCCAATATAGGCTTAAAATATACCCAAAATTTAATAAAGACAGTAACACTAATATCATTATACTAAGTGTGCCAATTAGACATGATGGATTCCGCTTGTGTAAAAAATGAAATTAGAACCTTCAGTAGAATGCTTATTTATGAAGTATATAAAAATGGTTAAACATACTGTTTTAGAAATTAACCCAAACAGAATGCTTTCCATGTCATGGATTGCACCAAATGGAAGTATTTCCAGACAAATAGCAATTCAAATTTCTATGATTCTGGGCAAAAAGTTGAAGAACCATTTGGTCTAGGCTGGGAAAGTGAATTAAAAGGAGGACCTGCTACCCAGGTACTGGAAAACAGGAATGAAGTTTGCACAAATAAGGAAAATGAAAATAAACAAGTAGCTATGTCAGATTCTGAAGTACGTATCATTCCAAAGAGTATCAAATACACAAAAGAAAGCCATAGTGACTGGGAAATATGATTTTTTATGGCAAATCATGCCTAGGAAGTAGTTGATAAACTCGCTGTATATTCCTCCGGCAGGTTAACTACTACCCCAAATAAAAACAAGTATAACAAGGTCAAGGACCATCTGAATACAAACCCCCAATGACAGACAGGTAGCAGTGTCTAAGTACATATTCCTATAAAAAAAATTTAAGGTATCTGATCAAATTATTAGGTGAATAAGGGATACAACAAATGAGTTAATAAATTCCCAGAAATTTTATGTATAAAGGAACATCACCTAAAGGAACATGAATTTGAAAGAATATTGATAGAACACTATAATTTAGTTGCAAAATTTTGTAGGAAAACTTGAAAGATGGTGGAGTAAATATCTCTGCTCATGAATCACCAAATTTTACTAATATTAATGTACAAGAATTCAGTAAAGGATGAGATACAGAAGTATGTGCAGTGAAACTAAACTTTCCAACTACAAGCATTCTAATAATATCTATTTACAGACCTCCTACTTGGAATTTTGTGTGTTTTTAAAGTGCCTAGAAACTATTCTGAATCTACTGTATAGACCCCCCCCCCTTTAGACCCCTACAATTCATGGTGACCATTGGCAACTACTTTTAACTGCTTTCCTCCTCTTGTAGGAATCCTGAAGAATGCCAGAGACTCTGAGTCCCATGCCAGATCATCATCTCAGACTGAAGTGGCTGCTTCATCAGATGCAGAGGCTGAATCAGAAAGTGAAGTAAGAGGTATTTTGAAAACTAGTGGTACACCAGTTGCGTCAGGTGCAGGGACACCCGAACTGGAAAGCTTCCGTCATTTAAAGAGTGTTCTTAAGAAGGAAACAGCAAGTGAAATTCATGAAAACCAAGCCAATGAAGATCCTATGGTTTCAGCTACTAATGAGGATCTCCATTCAATCCTCAAGCCTGAATCATCAGAGTGGGATGAGTCTTCATCTCATAGCTCAGATTCATCTGAAAGCAATGTGCCATCTCGTCCTCACTCAGTTCCTGCCAGAAACACTCTTGACCTTGTTAGTATTCTCCATGGGGTTGAAGCTAATGCACGGAAGCAACGTCAGGCCTTAACAGGATCTCCAAACAACAGACCTCTATGTCCCAGTAGTAATGATGAAAAGATTTTGAATCTTAGAAACTTGAGAAATGAGAAGGAGAATCATCAGGGAGGTAAGGAAACTACACCTCCTGAAAATAGGAATGTGGATGGTAGTTACAGCCCTTTGAAGAGGGACATGGGCATTGAAGATCGTGTTAAGAAGCAGACAGAACTTGCTTTGGACAACAAGACACTTGTCAACCAGAGAAAGCTGCAGTCCAAACTGTTAATGGAGGATTTGAACATGATAGGGTTTCAGGCACAGTATGAACAAAAGGACAGGAGGAATCAGACCTTTAGCACCTCAAAAGTTGTAGAGTCCCGCATTATTGATCATAAATCTCTTGTCAACCAGAAAAAGTTGGAATCAAAGAAACATGTGGATGAGTTGATCAGTAGCAGGAAGAATGTGGTGGAGCATTCCCAGCTCAAGAAAACGCACCTAACTCCAGAAGAGGAGGAGGCTGCTCATTACGAGAGACAGTTGCACCGCCAAATAGAGGAACTGCAGCGTTTGTCTGCGTCACCCACACCGCCAACATCAGATGGTGAAACATCGTCTTCAGGAGGACGCGAGGTTCGCCGCATCATTCGAAATGAAGCAGTGGCCCGGAGGAGACAAGCAGCATTGGCTAAGCAACACCGACAAGTGAAGAGTATCAGGTAAGCTGAAGGCAGCCATCTTTCCAAATTACATGAAATGTGTTGAGTGCGTGCACCTTAGAGCCTGAAGTTATATACACTTCATTTTATCAAACCCTCACTTCCTACACACAACAGAAAAACTAAATATTTGGTTGTGAAAATGTGTGTTTATGCATGAAATTTTAATTTGTGGAATTCAGTATATATTTGGCATCGTTCATAAGAGATTTTGGTCTTGAATGTATTTGTATGGTAAAAAAGGGGTTAATGTCTATGCAGTTAGATGCAGGTACCATTGATTAGGTCGACAGTATAAATGTATTCGTTTCCAGCAGGAATGGGATAAGGCATTTATAAACTGTCCCTCTATAGTACATGCTGTGTTCTTCAGGATCAGAGTGAGTGGGTGTTTGTATGTGCATATATACATGAATGTATGTATAGACACACGCACATGCTTCTGCGGAGATGCTACTAGGGGCGTTCCAAAATGATTGGCACTAAATGTTTTTTCTTCACAGTAACCATTTATTTGAACAAAATACATATAGATTATGTTAGAGGTAACCCCCCCCCCCAATGTCTATGCACCTTTGCCATCGTTCCGGCAGTTTCCATATTTGCACAGCAAACCATATTTGGGGGTATCCTGGCGCCACTGCTGGACAGCTGCCTGAAGCTCACCATTGGAGGTGAACGTCTTACCCCGCATGATGTCTTTCATTGAATCAAATAGAGTGTGGTCGCTGGGGGCAAGATCGGGCGAGTATGGCAGATGAGGCAGCATGGTTTACCCTAGAGCACCCAGGGTGGTAGTGGTCTGTTGTCTGCCATGTGGCCGTGCATTGTCATGTTGGAGGAGAATGCTGTGCCCCCATTTTTCTGTGGTGGCGTTGCTGAATGCGTTGGTGGAGTTGGCGCTGTGAATTGCAGTACCGATCACTGTCGATGGTCGTATTGGGGGGCAGCCAATCCAACAGAAGGATCCCCTCCTGATTCCAGAACACAGTCGCCATTTGCTTCTGGACGAATAGTCCTGGTCGTGTGACTTCTTGGGAGGAGGGCTCCCAGCTTGCTTCCACTCCATGGACTGGCGTTTCTTTTCTGCAGTGTCGTGCCAGAACCATGACTCGTCGACAGTGACTAGACGCTCAAAGAACTCTGCCGGGTCCGCACTATACAGCTGCAGCAACTGTTGACATGTCTCCACATACTTCTGCTTCTTCGCAATGGTGAGAGAATGGGGTACCCATTGAGCACAGACCTTTTTCATCTTCAAGTCCTGATGGATAATGGTGCACAGTGTTCTGCATAACAAACCTGTTGTGTTCTCTAGTTTTCCAGTATCAAGTCGCACTGTGTACTGTCTGGTGTGCATGCTTTTGCTGGATGCCCACTGTTTTGCCTTTTTCTGCACAGTCCTTGCCGTCTTTGAACTCTGCTATCCGGTGAAACATGGTTCTGGGACTTGGTGCTGCTTCTCTACATACGGCTGCTAACCTTGTGTGAAGGTGTGAAGCAGCCACTCCTTCCGTCCAGAGAAACCACACAGTCCACCGTTGCCCATGATTGTCTGTTTCCATGTTGTCTGAGCGTTGTCCACGACTGCACCTGCAAACCGCCACAAATGGCACAGCACTGTTCGACCTGTGCGCAGTAGCGACGTCATCTCATGGCCATAGGTCTTAAAGTCATTTATTCCTCTATAAAGGTCTCTAATGTTCTTGTTCTAACTGTTCATTACAAACTCATCAGTTTTATCTTTCAGATATTCCCTCTTTTTATTCCTGAAATGCCTGCTGGCTTCATGTCTTACAGTGTTCAGATTATCCCCATTTATTTTGCTTGGATCCTGTAACCACTGCAGTTTGGTTTGTTTCCTTTGGTCTAATTATTTTGTGCATCCTTCGTCAAACCATGGTTTATGCTTTTTCAGTTCATAACCTAGACTCTCTTTGGCAGAGACTTTGATATTCTCTCTAATTGTTTCCCAATCTTTATTAACATGCACCTCAGTGTCTTATGTTTTCCAAAGCTGCAAACCTATTTGAGATTTCAAAACGCTACTGCACCTTCCCATCTATCTCCTTTAATTTCTTGTGTTTGAACCTCTGCATGTGAATTCTATGTGATGTTTGCTTACTCACTGCCAGTCTTTCCCTAACCTTTGCCATCACCAGGTAGTGGTTAGCATCACAAACTACTGCCCTGAATAATTGGACATCAGGTATACTTGAGTGTCGTCTCCTGTGTATCAGTAGATAGTCAATTGGATCGTGTGTCTTCCAATCAGGAGATGTCCAAGTAAATTTATGGATATTACTATGTGGAAATGTTGTACTTTTGACCATAAGATGTTTTGATGTGGAAAAGTGTGATACTTTAACTTCATTATCATTACTAATTTCATGCAAACTCTCATCCCCAATTGTTGATTTGAAGATGTCTTTGTCCCACTTTGGCACTGAAATCTCCTAACAAAATTTTTGTATAGTACTTTCGGAATATATCAGATACATATTCTAGTTCTTTGTAAAACCTGTCACTTATGTCATCAACTTTATCATCTGTTGGGGCATAAACATTCAGGATGTATATCACACCAGCAACCTCTTAGTATTATGAATGACATCCTATCACTAATGAGCTCTACCCTCTTAACTGCTGATATGACACTCTTATGTACAAAAAAACATGCACCTAATTCATGATTTTCATTCCCCTTTCTATAGAAAAATTCATATTCACCTATTTGTTCGATGCCACCTCCGTCCCATCTGACCTCTTGTACTCCCTCTAAATGTAACTTATAATTTCAGTTTCCTCTCATCCTCTGCCTTGAGTGAACGTGCCCTATACATACTACTAACATTCCTAGTACCAAATCTCATATCCCATTTCTTTTGGTTAGGTCGTTTTTCCAAGGCATCAGTGCAAGTCTGAGACTTTTTCCAAATGTTCGTAACAAGCTTATTTTTTTACTGTGAGGAGTTGTAGCCCCACTCCCTAACCCCCAAGCTGGAGGACCACTATTATAGACTGATCACAGAAATGTTAGTTCATAACACAACACGTTTTTGACTATTATGTGGCGATCATCAAGTGGTTACATGTGTTGTGTTCCATGAACTGATACATTGTCAGTGGCATAGTTCTTACAGACAGGTGTTTCATTGCCTTTAAAAATACAAATAGAATTAAGATTTGGTTAAAGTGAGAATTGGAGCCAGTGTTTATAATAATGTTGGCGTTTGCTTTGATACTGTGGTGTTTGGTATATTTTATTTGGCTGCTTTGTATTCTCTGTTTGTTGAAGTTTATTTCTGACAATTTTTCTGTTATTGCTTGGTGTTAGTGTCTGGTGTTTGCTGGTGGAATATGGATATACGTTTAAGAACTGTCTTTTTCCATCACCAGAGTTTTAAAGGATATTTGGATGATTGTGGAGTGGCAGGTTTTTGCTCCAACTCTGTCTGGGGTTGTCCTGGTATCATAGTTTGTACTACAGAGGCAGGGTGATGAACATACTGTCAAAGGGTCATACGTGAGGAAATGATAATTATTCCAACATATGTAGGAACTACACAGTAAGAAACAAACGCCCATGCTGCAAGAAATGCTAAGCAAATAAATCCAAACAAGGAGATTTCAAACAGTATCATTTGGATGAATGTACAGGTCTCCCCGAGCCAAACATTGAAATTACATCCAGATTTTATTGATTTTAATTGAAGCACATTTATTTTAAATAATAGGCATCACATTCACATGTGATATGAAAAGTTGGAAATACCATACCGTGCACCAATTTTAGTGAATTTGAGACACCTCTTGATGACCATGTAGGGTCGAAACATGTGAGAAGAGGGGACAGTGATAGGTTGCATTGTAGACGGAAATTGTATTGTATGTAGTAAATTATATTGCAATACTAATACAACAGAATACTTCAATACAGTATAATAAAAACAATTACGTTAGGAAATTTTATTTATTATCAACAAATATTTCAATATATTTAAACATTGTAACCTCAATACATATGTTTTTGTATGTATGTGTGTTTGTTTGTATTGGTTGTGTTTTGCATCCTAAAACCAGTAGCAAGAGATCTGTTGTGTAAACAGTACAGTAAGGATCAGTGACACATTTTATCGTTTATAATACGCCTGATAAACAAAATGACTGAAACATATAGCGTAGTAACATTTCAGTAAGGCCGCGCCATAGCTCAAGTGGTTAGTCGCTGACTTCCCACCGCGGCGGCCCGGGTTCGATCCCGGGTCTGATCAAATTGGATTTGTGGTGGACAAAGTGGCGCTGTGGCAGGTTTTCTCCAAGTACTTCGGTTTCCCCTGCCAATCTTTATTCCACCAGTTGCTCCACAATCACCCTCACCTATCATCTGGGGCTGGTACAACAGGCCAGACGTGGTCTCAGTACAAGGGACTTAGTCCCACCCCACTACCTTTAAAAAAACATTTCAGTAAACATTACGTATTGAAAAATGGAAGTTGTGATTGATGATGTACAACATAATATTGGATTTTGAGGCTTTTAAAATGACACTCATACAGAAAAACAGGTTAGTCAGTGCAGCTGCTTTAAACGCTCAAAAATGTACCATGACATACACTGCGAAATGAAGTCAAGCCCGATTTCAGGAGTCCAAGGTAGGTTCGTCATCTTCAGATTGAAATTTGGATGATGAAAGTCAACAACAGTCACTGCAAAATCATTCCCCCGTGGGAACTGTGCCCACGCTCCAGATGGTAGCCTCGCCCACATGTCTCACAATAAATTAGTGCAAAGAAATTTTTACTGTCACCTCATGCTCACAACGCATGAAGTTATCTATGACTTCTTTTTCTATTGGTGGCTTTAACGTGGATTCTTCTGACAACTTTTCCACCAAGACAGTGCCGCACAAGAATTATGCGACACACCTGTCGATCTATTGGACAAGTGTTATTTTTCTTCACCCATTTCTGGAGACAGTCTACGCAGAAATTGTGTTT